ATTCAAAAACATGAAAATTCTTCATATCAATATTTGCATATTCATTCAAAAACATGAAAATTCTTAATGGAGTACCCTCATTTTTTATTGAATTCCTAAAAACCAATATTTATAATGAATTTTAATAATTTTTTCGGATTTTTTTGAAGCTTTATTCTGACCGATTCACCCGATTCCGATCCGGATCGCCGATTCGCCGATCCGGATCGATTTTTGAAAAGCCCGATCCGGGTCACCGATCCGGTTTTTAAACCATTGGCAAGAAGTGAAGCTCCTTCTCAACAATTTCTTAAATTCGGTTTCTATGTTAAAGTGAAAACGTCAGCGAAAAATGTGCCTTCTAAATTGTTCGATGATGCCCCTTTATTGCATCACACGATAGCTTATATGAAAAAAGTTTGGAAAATTATAAAAAATCTCAAGATCACACCTTTTATGCAATTTACCTCTAATTTATTTTTTTTTTCTCTCACTCTTTTCTCCAAAATAAATATCTTCAAGAGAAAAAATTCATTTTTTAGATGAAAATACCCTTATATATAAAAAAAATCATTTTTGACAAATTTGAAGTTGACTTTTGGACCCCTCTAGCATATTGCGATAGTGAAGTAGGAGCGCACAAGTGCCGGACCGCCCTTTGCAACCGCCCGAACCATCGAATCTCAATTACAGGACCGTTCGCCGTTTGCAATTGCTGAACTGCCATTTTCAATGGTCGGACCTTACTTAACACAGTGTCGGAGTACTATTGTCGGACCGCACTTTACATAGTGTCGAAGCGTTACTGCCGTACCGAACTTTACACTGTGACAGAGCGTTTCTACTGGACTGAAGTGTTGGAGCCCCGTATTTTAGTGGGATAGAGAAGAGAGAGACGTGGGTAAAGTAACAATAAGGGAGGGTAGTTTAGGTTTTTTTTTTTTTTATTTGGTTGGGTTTTTTTTGTATAGAAAGTATACTATGAATAAAAAAGTAACCGAAAAAGTTAGGTTGGGGGGAAGTTGCATAGTATAGTTTTTGTCTTCTTTTTTTTTTTTGGTAATTTTCTCAAAAATATTTATAGGAGGTTGAAACTTATACTATAGTACAAAAATAAGATAGACCTCAAGAATCCAGTATCAAAGAGTTTTTCAAAGATAAGTTTTCCAATGTCATCTCAACTTCGAGATATATGGATATAAAAAGAAAAAAAAAAGTTCAATTTTTAAAAATAGTACATCATGTAATAAGTTATATAGGCAGCTTATTTTCAAGTTTTTAATGTGTTTATAGATCTATTTAATCTGCACTATTTTAAAATTTTAAATTTTATCATTTAGAATTAAACGTGGATTTTTAAGCCATCATAAGGTTTCAAACACCTAAACTAGGTCTTTTAGCAAAATCTAGAGGTTTGTCGTACTTGTACATAATAAGAGTGGCACCTTATATAAACATTTCCCATCTATGTTGGATAACAATCGAATTGATCGTTTTAATTTTGAGATTTTATACGTGTGATATATCACCCATCCCATCTATTTTTAAGATTTTGAATTGTTTATAAATCTACTTGATCCGCTCTCCATTTCTTGAGCTTTAAATTTTTATTTTTAGAACTAGAGACATATTTTCCTGACCTAAAAGTTTTTTATTTGAAAACTCCGTCTTCCCATAAAGTTTGGAGGTGCGTCTTTGATTTTTAAGATGAGCACCCCCTACATGCCTCACAAAGTAAATATAATGGTTTAATATGGGAGGACACCATCCAAAATATATCTGCCTCTCTATCACCGTCAATTGCTTTAATGGTTTAATATGGGAGGTGACCCTCCAAAATATATCTGCCTCTCTATCACCGTCAAATAGTTTCCAAAGGGATGATAGTGGTTACCCACCTTGGTGGTTAACCCCCAAAAAAGATGGTGGTTACCCACCTTGGCTATATTCTGCAGCATAATCGAATCTTAATAAGCTATGAGCATGGAAAGGCATACCTGAGCCACATGGTCATGTAGTTGGTCATGTAGTATGTACCATACATACACCATGGTTAGGGGTTTTAAATACCTTTAATTTTTATTTCAACATTAACAACATTTGAGTAACATGTAGTGTCGAACAAGAAATATACAATGAAGGATCCAAGGGGCAGTGGCAGCGGGAGAAAGCTACCTGATGATGTTAGCGGAGTCTCTTTCGATAATGATTCTATCACGACGAGGGAATAACAAGCAACTCTTTATTTCAAACCCCATCATTCTGCTCCATCAACTATACAATGTGGTGACTAAGTGTGGGGATGCTATCACCACGACCCCAGCCCCTTTCTTGCTAACAATAGGACTTGCATTGCTTGAGACACTAATATCAAAATTGAGTTCTAGGCAGCTAATTAGGGGGAGAGTCCTCGGATTGCGTGTCTGAATCTTTCTTGGTCTTAATTAAGCAACTTCTCTGATGTCTAATGACAAATCCTTTAAAATCCTTCCAAGCCAAGATTGACACTATTACATTCTAAATTGTTGGAGCATTTTTGAATCCATCTCATTCAGTTCATTCCCAACTCAGATTGCCGTGGGCAGATATAAAAGAAAACTTGTAAATCAGGGAATCAGGTGATTATAGGTTCGTCAATTGGAAATTTCCACCCACCAATTCTCAGCTGACTCGGGCATTTTCAAGTTGACTCGGTTAATGTACACATTATATAAATCCTCTGTAAGGGAAATGCTTTGATAGGGCTGCAGCCATATCAAACTTAAGTAGGTCCTCACCTCATAATTCATCTAAAATTGGAAGTCAAGCATTGAAAAACGTTTATGTTGATTATCCCCACTTGAATATTATGATTGAGAAAAAGCATATCAAGATTTCAAACTTTAAAAATAATGTATATTATAACAAATTATCTAGACCATCCATTTTTTTTTAAAAATAAGTGTTCACATATCTGTAAGATCTATACCATTTTTTACTTTTCAAGTTTTATTGTTGGTGTTGGAAATTGATTTTAGAGCCATCTTAGAGATTTTCGTCGCCAACATTTTTTTTTCGAACTAGGATTTGAGATGATCTTTATTTTAGTTTCATAAAGCCCAAACCTCTGCGTCCTACTGTACAGGATGCACTAGTTGTTTATATTCTTTATTGTATGAGTACCGCTCCTTTAGGAGCATACTATGCATTTACTCCCTTAGGAAAAACACTTTTTTGGGAGATATGTTTTTTAATTTGAAATTTTAAGATCCATCTAATTATAACCAAAATGATTATTTTCAAAGAAAAAAATTGGACTTTTTTACTTCTTTAACATCTACATCATTCCCCTCCAAAAATTTAATAGTTGTGCTGTAATGTTGGGATGCGATTTGTTTTAGGCATCTAGAGAGTGAGAGTTAATTCATTCTTTTCTTTTGTGTTAGTTGTCAGGTTCTAGAGACATTCTCAAAACATGGCATCCAAAAGATATTCCTGGTGTAACTTTTGCCCGAGGGGGTAGATGCATACCATACTCCCTTGGCAGTAGGAAATCTTTTGGTTTTTTTAATGGCAAATGGACCAGATTTCTTTCGGCGGAATATCTAAGTTAAAGTTCAAACTGTAAACTTTGGGTAGGCCCCAAATTTTAGAGATTTTTTTTTGGGAGAGAAAGGAAACAAACGTTACATGTAGCATGAATACATTTATGATAGGACGTACAGACACTAATCATCCACCATCCGTCATCACC